AATAACATTAGTGCTCTTGTGGGGCCTTCCTTTCTGATTACAGTATATTTTCTGTAATGTGTTTATCTGTACCAATTGCCACCAAGATGGATTAATTGGCCTTAATTTATTTTTCATTTGTTCCATTTGAATTGGATTTCCTGATGGAGATGGAGCAAGTACTTTCTTATATTTGAATCATATTTTAATTAAACCATCAGTAAAAAAAAAAAAGTGTCTCGCTTTACTTTTATTGATTTTGTCTATAAACATACTTGCCATCATACCTTTTAACCCTTTACTTTTTCAATTTGCACCTAAGCAATAGAGCTGTTATCCTTGACAAATTTTCCTATTTGAACTAGTTGAAATGCGTCATGATATAGTTCCAAATTTGATGTCGCTATCCCCTCTCTTAAAGAATGAACATATTTGGAGCTGTTAACAAACCTCAAAGATTTTCCTTCTGCAATAAAGTATATTTTTGACATTTCTTAAATGTTTCTATGTCTATTTCAAAAGGAAGTATTTCCAAGTTGTGCTTTCAGTTTGGTTTCCAGCACTCTTGCTTTATTTATGTTTTAAATTAAAACTCCCTTAGACCTCTGATATGAGCTTTGTGGAAGACCGTGAACATATAAATGTTATTAAGGACTACAAAATGGCCCAAGCATTTTTCCTAAACAATCATTCCTGCCTGATACCACCTTTTAAAATCCCAACATTATATATCCCTCCTTAGAGGTAAGTCCCATTGAATTGAGTTGTGCGTATTTCCAGTGCCTGAATGACTGCAACCTTAACATGCTTCTACTTCCACTTCCTTTTCCTTTATTTTCTTTATTTTCCAATTTGCTTACTTAGTGGGTACAACTACGGTATATATTTCATAAAAGATATATTATTCTGCCCTACTTTAGATTCCTATGTTATTAATCTTTTTTGTGATTAACAGAAAAACTAATGACGCAGGCTTCTGTTGTCTATTACCTATAAAATTCACTAAATGGGGTGAGCAAATAAAAGTAATAATGATAGATGAGTGAAGCCATTTTTGTTTATTTTGAACTATGATAACATAATTTGAGTCAAAAGCCAGAAAGAATAAAGCTGGCATCTGTTTTCAAAGCCCTCTACCTCTAGAGCCAAGAACTAGCCAAACACTTGGGGATGTTGCACAGTTGAAAATCTTTTAATGCATATGGTGCTTGCAAAGTGTAATATTGAGCTTCCATAAACAAAATGCTTGAAATATATAATAATACACAGAAATATAGAAATTAAGATGCTTAAATTGACTGTGGAATTGCTATCTGGATATTTAAAGAACTGACATTTGTTTAATTGCCTCCAGGCTGGTAGATGCATATTTGTGATGATTAGATGAAGTTGTTCACTATGGGCTATGCCTAAGCAAGCAGAGCAGCTTTGTCCATTACTTTGAACTGATTGCAAGAAAAACCATGCATGGACCATAAGGTTAAGAGTACGGGTCAGGGTGAGCATCCGACCTTCAGCCCAGCTGACTGTCCACCTAAGCAGTTTGAAAACAGCTGTAGCTGTGAGTAGAGAAATTAGGTACTGCTTAAGTGGGAAGGTATTTTATGGCACCACAAAAAAAAGTAATCAAAGAACAGGAGAAAAGGCTTGCCGTCAAAGAGGATGGAGCAACAGCACTCCCCTGTGGCCGGAATTGAGCATAACCTCCAGGACGCCGAAGTTGGAAAAATGTCAAGACACATACCTCTATCTGTCTGTCTATTCTGTATGTCTAAACGGCACAGAATGTTTGCCGTGCATGTGTTCTGTGATCCACCCAGAGTCCCTTTCAGGGTGAGAAGGGTAGAATATGAATGCTGTAACTGACTTCAGGGGAGGAGGCTTAATATGACCCAACAGATGCACTTTTCCCATCCTAATCTGAAGCATGGGTGTCATGCTTTTCTATCTAGTCATCTGAAGTTGTTAGCATTGTGATTGTGGGTAGTGCTACCAGGAAATATTAAATACATTCTTAAGTATTGTATCTGTGCATTTGGGCTCTATCTCTATATCTTTTAAAAATGTCCCTTAGTCAATGCAAAATTTGTTGGCAACCATGATGCCTTTGTAATTCTGCGTTAGTAGTATCAAATTTCTTTTCTGTCCCCCCCCCCCCAGTCCTTCACATCTTCCTCCCCTCCCACGTCTCCTCTTTGCCTTCAGCTTTCTTCCATTACTGTGAATTGAGTACAAAGTATAAAAGTAGTTTTTAGTTATGTAACTTAGCAGGGTAGAGAGAACGGGACAGAATCTTGCATTTCCCAGGAGGCACAAGCAAAAACCTAGCCAAAAAAAAAAAATCTCTTAACCATATTTTCATGTTGCTTGGCTATGCATGTCCTTATTTTCACATGTGACATGTTGAGATTTGCCGTCTTCGTAAGCAGGGAACAATGTATTCCTTCAAGAAACTGGTTGTGCATGTTCTGAGCATGGGAGGAGCATTTCACGTCAAAGTGGAAGGGTGAAATGTCCTGTGTGCCTAGACCAGAGGCAGGCAAGAGCAGCCCACAGGTCATCTCCCAAAAAGTTTTAAATCTTTCCCTGTTTTTGCCATTTTTGATCTCCCCCTTGAGCTTTATTTTTTTCAAAAACAGGAACTAAATAAAAAATAAATTCTGGCAACTTTCTGTTGCTAAAAATGGATTCCTGAGTTTTGTATAAGTAAAACAAAAATGATCCCATGCCCTTTTGAAGACATTGAGAAGAACTTATTTTTCTTTGCAGAGCAATGAAGTAATGGTGGTGGCAGGAATCTGGTGATTTGGGAAGGAGCTCCTAGTCCTCACAATAATTTATTCATGTCTCACATCACGAGCCACTGCTAGTTCAAGGAAAGGTTCTCATACTTTCCACTGGTCAGGAAATAGCCATGGGAGAAGGGAGTTACATTAGCTAGAAGAGTTCCTCCTGATCAAGTTGTATGGGAAACCTGGTGGGAAATAAGCTAAATATTAAAACAATAGGAGCCTTGTGCCATGTTCAACCTGGCAACCTTTCTGGAATCTCAATCCTATTAAAAAAAAGGGGTCTGTCTGCCGGTCCTTCTATGTTTCAGATGTGGTCAAAGCTAGGTTTATCTCATAAAAATGAAGAAAGGTTCACATTCTGGAATTCCCTCTTCCAGTTAAAGCAAACATGGACAACATGCAACCCTCCAGATGTTGTTGGCCTACAACTCCCACCATTCTTCACTACTGACTACTGACTACAGCTGGTGGGAGTTGTAGTCCACCAATATCTGAAGGGTCACATGATGCACACCTCTATGTTAAAAGAGGAAAGGACTCCTTCCTTTTTGTATACCTTATGCAAAGTATCCCTGGGACAGAACCTGGGAGTCATTGCTGGCTTTAACGCTATATGCAAATCAAACACAGCACCTAGAAGATAACATTAACTGAAAAATTATTCATGATAGGCAAAGTGAAGAATTATTCAATCTGGTCCCTAGTAATTTGACAGAAGCTGTTCAATAGCAAAGTAATATTCACAGTTCCAAGTTAGTTATGGCTCCTTTAGGAGGAAAGATTCCAACCGGCAGTTTTCTTTGGCTGATGAAGAAGACATTAATATAACACTGGAGAATTAAAAAAAAAAAGATGTGAAATTAAATCTTATGAGTGGCCCATTATAGTTAACAACCAAATGGAATTGAGATGTTTGTTTGCTCTGTTCCTGGAATAATTGATACATTCTGTTCTGATGTTGCACATTTATCTGGAATGTTCCTACATATAGCACTAACACTCATGTTACTTATTTTTCAACAGAGCTGCAGTCTTTAAATATCATGAAGTAGTGAGCATGGTTTTAGACTCCCTGTCTTTCCCTTTTGCTTAATAGATGCTTAATAGATAACTGGCATGTGGAATTTAATATTAACACTGAGTAAGATTGTTAGATGGGAATCTCAAGGCGCTTCCAGACAGCGGCAAAATCTGTGCCAAAGTTGGTTTTAAAAACCTGCTTTGTCGTGGATTCCCAACCCCACCCACCCCACCCCAAAAACAGTCTTTTCCAGGAGAGAGGGTGGCTACATGCCATCCTGATTAAAATCAGAATGGCATGCAGCCAACCCGAAGCCCCCCCCCCCCAATTTACTCCTAAATAAAGTAAAACTTACCTGGCCATATAAATTTCCTCCTTGCACCAGGAGGGTGCAAGGAGGAAAGTTATAGCAGCCAGGCAAGTTTTGCTCTATTTTTATGTATAAATTGAGGCATTTGAGGGATAGGCACCATCCTGGACCTTTGGGCTGCAGGAGCCCACAAGGTCCACAATGTTAATGGGGACTCACTCCTGGATAGTCCCAGGACTGCCCGGAAATTAGTCCCCACAGGCCCAATACCCCATTAGACCCACACCTTTCAGGAAGGACTGGATCTAATGGGGTATCTTTTAATTCAGAATAACTTAGGTTATTCCGAATTACCGTAATTCATTTAATTCACCAGATGGGCCCTCAGTACATTTTCACAATTGCTGTATGTCCCTGCCCACTTTATGGGAAATTCCGGGCTTCTTAGCAGATACATGATGTTTATACATTCTGGATAATTGGCATAGTAAAGTAGTGTCCCTTATTTAAAATGACCAAAATAGTATTTGTTTTTGGAACATTTTTGTAGTGGGGAGAATTTCAAGACATTGATGGTGCAACCCATGGATGCAGAAGTCATGCAAGTCGAAGGCTGACAATATTGACCTCATATTTTATCAGCCTATTTATCTAGTGATATGTCACAACTACCTTTTCTAGTATGTTATAGGTCTTTCCTGAAGTTTCAAAAATATATTAACTATGATGGGAACCATGTCTTTTAAAGTAAATCCACTTGAAAAGGTTGTAAATTGCTTCCAGTCTAGTATAGTTTGGATTAATGTCTTCAAAATTAAAGTACAGAGCTGCTGCTACTGTCATGTTTTGATAGATCTTCATCCCCTTATTTTGTTGCTTCTCTCTCTGTTGAGTACAGGTGATTTATGCTTTGAACACTAAGCATGATGAGCAAGAGGCCAGCATCCAAGCTCTCAAGGAGGCCCATCAAGAAGAGATTCAGCACATCCTTGCTGAGACCAGGGAAACTGTCCTGCAGTATAAGAGCAAAGTGGAGGAAGCACAGGAACTCCAGAAGCACATCCACACCCTTGAAGAAACTTTGGAAAAACACCATAGGATAAGAAAGGAGGCCTCATCAGAATTTGCCAAATGTGCAAAACTGATAGAAGAGAGAAAGTCATCAGTGGAGACCAAGCAAGCAGATGACAAAATTCTTCTTCCGCAAGTGATAGCACATGTGAAACTAGGTTGCAAAAACACTGTTCAGGCTTCAAAGGATTCAGACAGCCCCATGGGAAATCATTGGACCTACGTAGGAGATCCACTGGATAACAGTGGGAAGGTAACTGCAACATGTAGTATGGATATGAGCGAGAGAATGAACTTCAAGTGGGAGAAACAGAAACTGGCAGAAGAATGCACCGAAAGGGCCTCTCATGAGAGAGAGAAAGAAACCTGGAGAAAGGCCATGCAGCAATCAGTGCCTGATTCATTAAGAGAATGGCAGCAAAGGGAAATGGAGCAAAGGAAAATCTGTGAGGCAGGAGAATCTATTTCACAGCGGCAGCTGGAGAAGCTGGAGGCTGACTTGGAAGCAAAAGGCCAGAGAATCAATGAGCTGAAAAAGTATTCCCAGAAGCTGAAGGAGAAAATGCAGGTAGGTTGAGAGACTTTTGTCATTTGCACTCAGTGTTAGTAGGGGAGGAAATCTTTGGATTGTTTTCTTCTTTGAGTCATTGAGAGTCTATAAAAGCTGGTTCCAAGTATTCTGTGAGCTTCTGGCAAATCTAAGAAACAGAACATTGAATGGGATGCCAAAAATGTTGGGAGCACAGTTCTCAAAAGGGAAGGGTTAAAGGCTCAACCTTATACCATAACTTTCCAAACATTTCATGCTGATGACACATTTGTGAGGCATACAACATTTTGTAACACAATAATTAAGTTTTACTAACAAACAGGAGGTTAAACCATCCCCTTATAAGAGATAGACACATTCATAAATTGTCATCATGAAATGTATGCAAACACAACATAGCTCATCAAAATTTTTCATTTATATATAAAATATATTAAAATATGTGGCTTACTGCTTATTTGACATACTTAGAGGTTTCCCATTATTTTGTGTGACACATCTATTCACTGCAGGCAACACATTACTGTGTCGCAACAAATACTTAAAAAGTTCTGCCCTACAGCATAATGGCATTCCTGAATTCCTATATCTTTTTTCCATAAATATGAATGGCTGTCATTTAGTGCTAAATACAGTAGAGTCTCGCTTATCCAACCTTCGCTCATCCAACGTTCTGCATTATCCAACACAGTCTGCCTCCCACCCAGATCCACAGCTGTTTCAATACATTGTGATGTTTGGGTGCTAAATTAGTTAATGCAGTAATCACTACATAACATTGCCATGTATTGAACTGCTTTTTCTGTCGGTTTGCTGTAAAACATGATGTTTTGGTGCTTAATTTGTAAAATCATAACGTAATTTGACAGTTAAAAGACTTTTCCTTAATCCCTCCTTATTATCCAACATTTTCACTTATGCAATATTCTGCTGGGCCGTTTATGTTGGATAAGCGAGACTCCACTGTATGCAGATATTAAAAATCTCTGCATGTCGAGAAATGATGCAGCTGATGACAAAGCTATAGTGAAGGCAGGGGTCACCTGCCAATCATGACAATGATTGGTTTAATGCTTCTGAACCTCCTTCCCTTCCTACTCCCACAAATTACAGAGAGCTGCATAAAGGAGCGGGGTAGAGAGAGAGGTTAAAAAGGATGGAAATTTATATTCTGTTTGACTGATATGATAACCGTTGATAGACCTCTTTCTTCCATGAATTCAAGTAGTCTCTCCCCCATGGTTTTGCTTTGTCTATTTTAGTGTCCGTTACTTCATAAGAAAATCCTATGAAATTCAAAGGGTCATTATAAGTCAACAAACAACTTGGAGACATACATGGGCAGACACCCGCACACACCTCATCACACACTTCTCATTTTATTTCCTTCACTGTGGTTACTTCATTAACACACACAGAGCTTGGTTGCCCTAATAATGAATATGGTTGGTTTATTAATAAGCTTATCTAACATTTTATAGCTCACTAGATACGTATGCATGAGACTTTCATCAGTCATATATTGCTGAGTGAAAATTAAAATGAGTGATTAGGGAAAACATGTTTGAAGTCAAAGAGGCCTATATGATACACATTGTAACAGTGAAATCCAGCTTATATATTTTATACTGATGAGAAAATCTTACATAGAATGAAATGCTCTGTTCTAACATCCAGATTTCCTGTAATGGAAATTAACAGCATGTTGTTAGAAGCTTGTCATGCCTCCCACCATGTTCATGGGCTAATTCAGACTGTCAAAAGAAAGCTGTCATTCACTGGCAAAATTGAGGAGTATCAGGAACAAAAGGAACACAATTTTCTATATTTCCCACATTTCTCTTGAAAGCTTCTTTTGCTTACGGCACATTCCTTAGTTGGCAGCAGCTTCCTCCAGCGCTGGAAGATTTTATTCCCTCAGAAATATATGTAGGATGAAAGACTTTAAAAAGTGTTTCATGGGTAACATTAATTAATTCTTAAGACACAGTTATAAAATATATATTCAGAGATAAGAGGACCAATGTTTCTGCTTGATTTTCCCACTATATTCCCATTTGCATGAGAATCAAACAACCTGAGTTATGACTGAAAAACTATGTGAATTATTAATTATAACTACTAATTGTTAAACTTTTGTAGTGAAGTTGCAAAAATCAGTTTAGAGCTGGAAGTGCCCATTCTACACTGCTATACAACATTCAGACTGCCTGCTTTGAACTGGATTATATGGCAGTGTAGACTCATATAATCCAGTTAAAAGCAAATCATGTGGATTATCTGATTTGATACTCTGGATTATATGGCAGTGTAGAAGGAGGTGAAAAGTTTGTCAGAATAATCACAGGAGAGGAGCACTTCCTCTAAGAGTAAAAGTTCCTTCGTTTGGGCTACTCAGCTAGGGCAGTAGATGAGCAAGAACATGCAAAATTATGCTCTCTCGTAATGTTAGACATTTGTAGCCATTTACTCAAGCTGAAAGGTGGGAAATTCAGGACTGCTAAAAGGGAGCACTTAAACAGCACACTGTAAACTGTGGAGTTCACTGTCAACTGGAATGGCTTTAGAAGTGGATTAGTGAGGTAGGGCCATCAATCACTACTAGTCTAGGTGGCTTTAAATCATCTCCCATATTAAAGTCAGGTGAAAGCCTTTGTTCAGCAGTTGCTGGGGGAGTGCAAGGCAGACAGTGCACTCATGACTTGAATTCAAATCCTAGGGATGAACTTTCCACAGGCAGCTGGGAAACTGGCTGCACAATCTTGCATTTCTGCCACAAGGCTTGTGATGTGATGAAGTGTCAGTTGTATGGATCAGCACCTTCTCTTTAGGACTATATGTGACTATCTTTCCCCTCCTCTGCTGGGGGTGGTACTCAAATCCCTGAAATAGCTGGAGACCTCAGTACCCAAAGGAGTTATGTTACCTATGGATTGAGATATGGGCTGTGGCCTTCTCTGCTTTGCATCCCAGTTATGGAATACCCTTAGATACCCGGTTGCTGACAGCACTGATGTCATTGCTGCACCAATAATGACATGGGTTTTTATTGAAGTCCTTTGATCCTCTCATTATAATTATTGTGTCAGCTATTTTCCAATATTGGGATTCGGGCAGTTTATAAAATTTTAAAACAGATTAAAATACAGGCAGTCCCCAATTTTCGAACAAGATAGGTTCTGTAGTTTTGTTCTTAAGTTTAATTTGTATGTAAGTTGGAACAGATACATTTTTAAAGTCTAACACCAGCCATATATATGTGTGTGTGTGTGTGTGTTTAGTGTTGGATAGCATAGGGAAAGGTTAACACCCCTGTGGTGTTTATTTGCTGTCTGTGCCTCTGTTCAGAAGATTTCACCTCACTTTCTGTCCCTGTGGCGATTGGATTTTGAAAAAAAATATATGCCTGTTGTAGAAACAAGGATTGGTGATAAACCTTCAGTGGAGACTTTTTAAATTGAATTTCCCTTCCTAGGAGTAGATTTCTCTCACTTCCTATGGTCTCACCCCCGTTCTTAACTATGAGTTATTTGTAAGTTGGATGTTATAACTCATGAACTGCCTGTACATACAAAAAAATCATTAAACTATGTAACTATTATTTTAAAATCCAGAGGTCTAAATTTATTTAACCCAAACGTAATTAAAAAATCCTCTAAACTTGCTAAATTGTCTAAAAGGCTTTAGCCTGTTCAAATTATTTCTTCTTCTATACTTTACATTTGTTAAACTGATTTTATAGGATGCTGCTCTGAGATTCATGTGGCATAAATATTATAATAAAAGAAATAAATGCATCAAATATGTTTGAATGGTTTTTAACTGCGTATTTTAATACTGTTTATATTTAATTCTGTTTTAATGTTTGTATATTTGCATATCTTAAATTATGCAGCAGGTTAAACCGCTGAGCTGTTGAACTTGCTGACTGAAAGGTTATTGGGGAGGCGGGAGGCTGGGATAGATGCTCAGGCTACAAAAGGTCTTGGCCCACTTGCATTTAGACTTTTCAGAATGTTATTGAAAATCACTGTGGCATAGATACAATTGGCTATTATTACTACCTGATCAACCACCATGTCCCAGGAGAAGAAAATTCAGTGCCATTTTACTTTAGCCTGTGGCAGCAGAATATATACATTATTTAAACAACCACAATAATCATTGCACCCAGTCAGCCATTACTTCTCAAGATGGAAAGTAATGCAACAACAACCAAGGATGTTCCCATAGCAAGTACCTTATGGCCAAAGACAATAATCATGAATATATAATGAAAATATGTTTGCAGGACCTGGAAATACAACTGAAGGAAGCACAGCAAGAAACAATGGAGTACAAAAATATCAGGAAAACTTTGGAGGAAGAACTTGTTACTGCAAAAGAGAGACTGCTGTTGCAAGAAAATGAGATCCAGCACAAAACAGGTAGGTAATACAGCTGAGCCTACAATAATCAGCTAATAATCAAATCTGCTAATCTCAAATCCACAAATGTGGAGAACCAACTGCATAGCATCAAAGATTGTGAATCTGAAAATTCCCATCTGATAACTGTGTCTTCCATGTTAAACCCAGTAGATGGATTACTTGTTTGTTTATCTAGGAGTTCCAATGCCATCTTTCTGAAACCAACCAAAGGTGCTGGATAGACAAATAAAAAGCAGAACATAAAATCTTAGCAAAACACCGAAGCATCACTAAAAGTGATGGTAACTTTACAAGTGTGAGATATTTTTTTAAAGAATGCACTGTTACAGACAAGAAGGTGATTGGATCTAACTCCCAAGGAGAGGCATCTCAAAGTTTGAGACTGACACAGGAAACAACTCTCTCTTATCTACCCGAAAAGCAACCCCATTCTTCAAAATGGCTCCTCTTAGTAACTGAACAGGCTAGGACAGCGTTTCTCAACCTGGGGGTCAGGACCACAGGAGGGGTTACAAGGGGGTGTCAGAGGGGTCACCTGTTGGTCATGGGGGTTCTGTGTGGGAAGTTTGGCACAATTCTATTGTTGGTGGGGTTCAGAATGCTCTTTGATTGTAGGTGAACTATAAATCCCAGCAACTACAACTCCCAAATGTCAGGGTTTATTTTCCCTAAACTCCACCAGTGTTCATGTTTGGGCATATTGAGTATTTGTGCCAAGTTTGGTCCAGATCCATCATTGTTTGAATTCAATAAACAAAGTCCAGGGATCAAGAGTCTACCATAGTCAATGGCCAATCCAAAAATTCAAGGTTCCAGGATTCTAAGAGTTCAGGAGACAGGTCAGGATACTGAAAATCCAGAGACCTGGGGGGAAACCAGCAGCATCCACCACCAAAATATAACAAATACTTTTTGCCCAAAGATCAGTTCCAATGCTCACTCCTTATATCCAGAAACACCCAGCTGCAACCTATCTCTTGCATACCTCCACCCTTAATTGCTTTCACCCATGAACTATTACTTACAGATTACTTAACACTTTAGAATACTTACAGTAACCCTTCCATCACCAAGCACCATCAACTGCAGAACACATGACAGTGAATTACAACTCCAAAACACAAGGTCAATGCACCAAACCCTTCCAGTATTTTCTGTTGGTCATGGGAATTCTGTGTGCCAAGATTTGTTCAAGTCCATTGTTGATGGAGTTCAGAATGCTCTTTGATTGTAGGTGAACTATAAATCCCCAACAACTATAACTCTCAAATGGCAAAATCAATCCCCCTCCAACCCCACCAGTATTCAAATGTGCATCGGGTATTTGTGCCAAATTTGGTCCAGTGAATGAAAATACATCCTGCATATCAGATATTTACATTATGATTCATAACAGTAGCAAAATTACAGTTATGAAGTAGCAACTAAAATAATGTTATGGTTGAGGGTCACCACAAAATGAGGAACTGTATTAAGAGGTTGCAGCATTAGGAGGGTTGAGAAACACTGGGCTAGGACAACTTGGTTCTAAGCCATTTACTGTATTAAAAGTTAGAGCCAATACAATCACCCGAACTCCAAAGACAATTGAGAACCAATGCTGTTTTTTCAGTATTAGGATGATGTAATTACACTGGTTAACAATAAAGTTGCCAGCTCAAGATTGTTCCAGGCCCTGCGGTTTTCAGGTCAAAATCTGAAAGTGCCCCCAACTGTGCCCCCATTTACACTGCCATATAATGCAGTTTAAAATAGTGTCAACTCAGATAATGAAGTTATATGGCAGTGTAGATGGGGGAGAAAAATGAAGACTAGTAAGATTTTGATCAGTTACATCAAGTGCTATAAATACAGTAAAACACATATCTTGGAATTCTGTATTTGTGTGTGTGTGTGTGTGTGTGTGTTGTAGAAGAAGTTTATGAACCAATTAATTCTTAATTTTAACTTGAACTGATTTTCTGCTTAGCATATCAACTTTTTCCACACAAAAAGAAATCTAGAAATTTTCAGGTTTTCTAGAATTGAAATGTTATGGATTGAAGATACTAACAGTCAAATGTCTTTGAATCATTAATAAAAATCATTAACATTAACATAGGCAAAGTTGAGTAAATTTTCTAATGGTGTATAAATGGAGAATGTATAATTAATCTTGTTAGCTGCATGACAATTTCAACGAATAATGCATACCTATCAAATTCACAGAAATAATGGAGACTGCACTAAATTCCCACAGCAAAGTCAAAAGTGAGGTGGATGAACTAAAGAAACACATCCTGATGTATCATCAAGCATTGTCTGCAAAACAGAGCCAAGGCAACCAAGATGGTGGAGATTCTCAGGTATAAAAACAAAACTTTTTTTCTCATTTTGTTTGCACAAGGTGCAAAATGAATAATTGATGTGATAAAACAGTTGACTATATTAACTGTTTCTGGCATTATCTTTCCACTATGGTGGGATTGCATGCCCCTGTGAAGAAAGAAACATCAACAGCATAAGATATGCAGGTGACACCATAATACTGGCAGAAAATAGCTGAGACTTGGACCAGTTACTAAAACAAATCAAGGAAGAAAGTGCAAAGGCAGGTTAATAGTTAAGCAGTAAGAAAACGAAAATAATGACCATTGTAGACTTTGAAAAGTCTCATTCATTAATCATAATGAACACTGTAGTCAAGAAAATAGAAGACTAGGACTTGGAAGGACGTTCCAGACTGGGCCCAAAATGCGGGCCTTGTCGGAATTTTACTGGAGGTATTCAAACAATGCCTCCAGTAAAAGAGGATTAATTCAGGATGAATTAATTAGATACCCCATTAGATCTGGGACTCCCTGAAAGTCTTGGGTCTAATGAGGTATTAGGCCTGTGAGTACTGAGCCACGGGTATTCTCGCAACTACCCAGGGTTCCATCTCCACAACCCATCTCAGTTCTCTGGGTCCCATGAGCCTGAGGAGAGTATCCCCCCCCCCAAAAAAAAGCCTTCAAAAAACCTTACTGGGCCACCATTAGGCTTTTCTGGAGCGGGGGATCTCTCCTCCCCACCACCACCCATGCATCCTGGTGCATCATTTCTATTTGCAAGGAGGCCTCTGGAGAAGCCTAATGGTGACTGGGTAAGTTTTCTTTTATTTTTCAGGCTTTGTGGGGGAGTGACCTAATGCATCCCAAAAGTTTTTGGGATGGCACGAAGACACCCACTCAGGAAAGCCCGGGTTTTGGGGGGCGGTATGGGGACTTAAATCCGCTCCAAAGCCCTGTCTAAAAATACCCTATGAAGGAACTAGACTACATCTAAAGTGTAAGGATATATCATTGAATACAAATGTTAGGATGGTCTATACAATCATATTTCCAATTTCTGTGTGTGGTTTTGAAAGCTGGCCAATGAAGAAAGCTGATAGGACGAAAATCGACTCATTTGAAATGTGGTGCTGGAGAAGAGTTCTGTGAATACCTAAAAAGCTCTCCCTAGAAGCCAAGATGACTAAACTAAGATGTATACATCTTGAGAAAACATAACTCACTCGAACAGTCAATAATGAGATAGAAGGCTGTAGGAAAAGAGAAAGGCTGCATTTCAGATGGATAGATTCAATTAAGGAAGCCATAGCCCTGAGTCTGCAAGACCTGTTGATGATAGGATGACTTGGAGGTCTCGCATACATAAGGCTGCCATAAGTCGGAGTCGATTTGCCAGTTAACAGCATATTTTCCATTTATTGTTGCATTATTGTTTAAATGTCTGAAATATATCTTAACCTTTGGCTGATTTTCTCAAAGCTTCCCTATAATCAGTTACTTTATAGGTGATGAATTCATTCATTTGTATATAATGTTAACGGGAAGACAAACGTTTTGGTGGCATTCTGTCAAATAAAGCATCAGATTACTTATAGGTTCACTGGTGGGTCATGTGCCTTCTTTTCACTTTCTCCTGTATTATTTTTAAAAAAATATTTTGACCAATGAAAAAACCTATGGAGCTTTAAAAACATGCACATAGTGTTTTATTCATTTTGGCTGGCCAATAAAGTTATTGCTTATTTGTGGGTTTTGGATTTTGTTTTATTTATTTATTTATTTGCTATACTTGAATACCACCTTTCTCAGCCTATCGGCGACTCAAGGCGGTTTATTTAATGAATGTGCTTGCATCTTTCAGCCCAGGGAATCTGAAGAGTTGGAAAAAGTAGCTACTAAACAGCAACACAAAGATCTCCGCAAAATCAAACAAGAGTCGGATGAGGAGAAGAGTCGTTTAAAAGAGCAGCTGGTAAAAGGTCTGGAAGACCTTGTAAAGAAGCACACTCTCGAAATTAAATCAGCCCGAGCCTCTATGGACATTGAGAGGAAAAAACTGCAGAAGGTGGGTTTTTTCTATTAATAGATACTATGATTCATTGGCCCCTTTCAATCTCTTTGGTCATGGTGACATAATTTAAATTATTCCTACTAGACCGGGAGCATTAAATCACAACAAGAATTTTATTGCAATGTTTTTCTTTTAAAAAACTGAGCTGAGCTGATTTTTTTCAATTCAATAAAAGCTTTTGAAAGAGAAAGGAAGGTTAGTGCACCCTTGATGTGCTTCCAATTTTTTGGCTGTTGCTCGAATGTACTGCTCATGACACAACTGTGATTAATGCAGTAGCTGCTTCAAAGAATAATAGAAACTGTAGGTGTATTTTCAAACTGCAGATTTTCATCCTCAGGATCTTTACTTTTCAAAGCTTGAGCATAAATGGATATAATTCCCTGGCTGGAAACTGTTTTTAAGCAGGATCTTACTCTGAACCGAAGATAATCTGGAAAGATAGCAAAATTAGCTGAATGTCTGCATCCCCTACCATGTAAGCAGCAAGAGAAACGTGAACATAGTCCAGACTTCATGGAACCCTAAGTCATTCACATATCACACCTTAGGGTCAAACTACGCATTATCTTACCTGAGTATTTGACTGGTTTTCTTACCCCATGGATTGCCAATGTGCCCCATAGATCCAGCAGGGATCCCTGTTGCAAAATGTTAAGAAGCTTTTATCTTACTGAGCTCTGTTTTGCTTCCACCTTCTTGCTCCTGCCATTTGCATTGCCACAAATGGCTCATTCAAATAAGTGACCCAACTTTGCCAGTTAGAAGAGCTACAGGGCCAGTTGAGGTAGTGTAGTACAATGTAAAACCAAGTATTTTTCTTTCGTGTCAGGAGCAACTTGAGAAACTACAAGTCGCTTCTCGTGTGAGAGAATTGGCCGTCTGCAGAGATGTTGCCCAGGGGTCACCCAGATGTTTTACCATCCTTTGGGAGGCTTTTCTCATGTCTAGACATGAGAAGCTGGAGCTGACAGACAGGAGATCACTCTGCTCCCCAGATCAGAACCACTGACCTTGGTCAGCAGTCCTGCTGACACAAGGGTTTAACTCATTGTGCCACCGGGGACTCCTAAAACTAAGGTGGAATGGGAATTATGCTTTGACTTCCTGTTGATAGAGAAAAACTACTACTGGTTTTTAAATGTCTGTGTTTGCTTTTAATAGGATTTATGTTCATGTTTTATAATGCTTATTTTTGTATGGTTTGTGTCATTCGGCAATTGAATGTTTTGCCTATGTTGGAAACCGCCCTGAGTCCTCTTGGGGAGATAGAGTGGTATACAAATAAATTATTATTATTATTATTATTATTATTATTATTATTATTATTATTATTATTGTAGTTCCAACTTGGCTCACACAATTTTAACATTTTCAGCTTTATCATAGTGCATTAATATTCGGTACCTTTCATTAATTCATTATAGCTATTGTTATGGTTCAGCATATAGCATGTCAATTGGAGTATGGTAAAAAAAAAATTCTAATCCATCTTCCTCCAGGTCAATTGATAGATTAGGTTCTATCTTAATCATTTCCTTAGTGCAGCACTCATTTAATTGGCCATCATTTGGTGAAGGGAAAAAAAAATAATGTGATAAATAGGCACAATATGCCCTTCCCATAGCAAATGATGGTTTCTACCTCTTTTATAATGAAAACATTGACTACTCTTTCCATCCATGTGTATTAACAAATATTAAATGCACTGATATAGCCGCTGACATAATTAACTGTGGGACTCAAGTGCTTCTACTTCCATTTCACTGCTGTTGCAATATAGTATTGGGCAATATTAATATTAATACTGTAATTTCCCAGGAGCATACTACAAGGGAACTGCTAGCATCTCGCAGGAGCAATAAATATTTCAAGGCACACTGTGAGTCCAAAGGCTGACTGCTGGCTTTCTGCATGATTTCCCGTTCTGGCTCTGTGTCCTTCTTGTCTGAGGGGGGCTCAGCTTGCAGAGCAAGGAGCACAGGATGGGACCTCCTGTAGCTAGATAGCTCTCACTCTTGCATTTTAGGTGTTTGGGAGCCTTTCCAGATAGGCCCTATATCCCAGGTATGATCCCAGGTTTTCTGCTTTAAACTGGATTATATGAGTCCACACTGCCAGATAATCTGAGATAAACAGAAAACCTGGGATCATACAGGTCTGCAACCTGTCTGGAAGGGCCCTAAGAGCCACATGCCTCCCCACTTTTTATTAAGAAAGCAAGTACATTATCAGAAGGGTGGGAAGCATTGGTTTCAGATTATTTTCATTATCTTATGATTTGAGACATTTAAGAATCACCATTTATTTGTCCATCATATATTTATACATTGCAGGTGTCTTTTAAGAGTATTTCCCAGGGGCCGCAATGGCACAGTGGGTTAAACCACTGAGCTGCAGAACTTGCCGACTGAAAGGTTGGCGGTTCGAATTTACGGAGTGGGATGAGCTCCTGTCGTTAGCCCCAGCTTCTGCCAACCTTGCAGTTCGAAAACATGCATATGTGAATAGATCAATAGGTACCTCTCTGGCGGGAAGGTAACAGCACTCCATGCGGTCATGCTGGCCACATTACCTTGTAGGTGTCTACGGACAATGCCAGCCCTTCAGCTTAGACATGAAGATGAGTACCACCCCCTAGAGTCAGACTGAACTAGACTTAATGTCAAGGGGAGACCTTTACCTTTACCTTAAGAGCATTTCACATGGAAAACAACTTATATACTGAATTTGCTATGGCAGCTATTTAGGTTTTCTGACAAGTTTCTCAAGGATTATTGCCATTCGCTACTTATCAATTTGTGGCCATTCTGTGTTAATAAGGACAAAATAATTACAACCCCAAATTATATTCTTGTGCCTGTCCTTTTAAAACTAAAGAAAGCTTCACCTAGCACAGTAAAGCACAGCAATTCAAATTTATTTCAGTGTAGCTTGTGTCTCACCCAACTGTATTCCAAAACAATTTCTGTTCCTTTTGAGGTTTTCCCATGCTCTCTATCCATTCATTAGCAACATTCACAACAACTAGTGTGTTTTACAGATGCAATCCCCCTCTACACAGGATTGAATAACATCCAATTTTACAAAATAGTCTGTACACATACAACATATTTCTTTCGACACATCCAGTGTATAGCTGCCGCAGCCAGAGCATGATTAGCAAGTGCCATCCTGAAGTTTTCTTTAGTGAGATTCTTAATAGCATTAGTTAAGGTTAGAACAGGACTCAAGTATCTTTATACCAGTGTGTATACCTGTTTGCCAATGCACGGAGAATTTATGAACTGTCACTTTAAATGGAGTCCTCCAATGTCTCTACTGAACAATGCATAAAGGTGTATTCCCTCTCAAGGAAAAGTGCAAGAGTGACTGTATTTAACAAGCCTTGAGGCATTGTTCAAGAATGAATGAGAACATACTGAGAAGAGCCCCAGCAAGCATAGTGACTGACAATAAACTCCCCGAGGCAAGAGCATAGGATATGGGGAAGCAAGAATCCCAAAGAACACAGAAAGGAAGAGAACAAAAGAAAGGAAAAGTCCACACATTGGAGCATCTGTTCAGTCACACCCTAGGCTTCATTTCAATACTTTTATTATGGTTAGCTGACTTGACTATCACATAACATATATTGGTGTATACATCCAGTAAATAAAATATTAGTAGCCAGAATTTTTTTGGCACCCCGACAAAAATGAAAAAGTTGTACAAAATTCTATTGAAGTGAATGGAGCTCTACCATATCTATATCACAACAAATGGTGGCGGATTTCCACTAACTTGCAACAGTGAGCAAGATTGTCCCATAACAATAGATTTTTAAAACTGCAGTCTAATAATATGCTTTTACCAGAGGCATCGTTTGGATGCTGAAAAAACCAAAACAGGTCCCACATTTTGGACCTGTCTGGATGGGCCCATAGATTTCCCTGGTTTATTCCATATTAAACACCTTATTAGATCTGGATCTCTATGAAAGATCTGAGTCTAGTGCTGGCTTTAGCCTATAAAGCTTTAAATGATTACAGGCCAACATACTTGTCTGAACATATCTCCCTCTATGACCCACCTCAAAGGCTGAGATCATCAGGGGAGGCCCTGCTCTCGATCCTTTCATCTGGACAAGTGCAATTGGCTGGGGTGAGAGACAGGGCCTTCTTGGTGGTGGCCCCCATCTGTGGAATTCACTCCCTAATGAAATTAGGTCTCTTCTCTCCTTCAGGAAGATAATTAAATCATGCTTATGGGATAATTAAATCATGCTTTGAGCAGCAGACGCAGCCATAATAATTGGAAATGGCTTATGTGATTGACAATGGACAGACCTCAGATTATGACTCTGGGTTTGGATTTGTCTTATTTAAACAGATATTTTAATTCTGCTGTCTTAACTAACATTTAGGTGTGATTTTATTAGTACTGTTGTTGGTATCTAATGGGTGCCAGTTGTGAACCACCCTAAGTCCCTCCTTGGGGGTGAGAAGGATGGGATATACATGTCTGAAACAAATGAGGTGCTGAGCCTGTAGGGACTCACTCCTGGGACATGTCACGCATTTCCCGGGGGTCAGTCTCCATAGATATCCCACACCTTTGGGGTCATCCCCTCCCAGCTCCTGATTAAGCTCCTAATCTTATTGAAAAGGTCTTTGGCCACCATGGAGTTTCTCGCATCCTCCTGGCGTGAGAAAATGATACATGAGAAGACTTCAGTGGGGGGTGGAGGGACCCTTTCAGTAAGTTTTAAGGGCTAAATAGGGACTTTAGGGTGGCTTCCTGCTATCTCAATTTAAGTTGAGATAGCATGTAGCCACCTCAGGCGGGAAGTCTCGAGGTTGTGGGAGAAGATGGAGACTAGAACATGTGCTGAAGGGGGTTACTTTAACTCAGTGGTTCTCAACCTATGGGTCCCCTGATGTTTTGGCCTTCAACTCCCAGAAATCCTAATAGCTGGTAAAGTGGCTGGGATTTATGGGCGTTGTAGGCTAAAACACCTGGGGACCCACAGGTTGAGAACCACTGCACCCGTTTTGGTGCGGGTTTTAATTATGTATGGAAGGGCCTTTTGTATACCCAATTTTAGTAGTATTTTATGTCTGAAAGTAGTCTAATGTTATCCAGAAATAAAAAGAGTCTTCTTTTGTGGCAGAGCTTTGTATTAAAATAAAACACCCCCTTCTTTACATTTTGAAATGTCACTTTCTTCAGCTTTCCTTACTGAGATTGAATCTAAATTTTCCCATTGTCAGATATTCCCTTAGTGGGTGTTATACTCACCCTTTTTATTGCTTCGGTGCAGTATTTAGATTCTTGCTTCATTGCTCTGAATAATCTTAAATCACCCTGCTTTAAAATTTATAGGCCACCGCTGAGGACGAAGCCTTTGTAATTGGCATTTTCCCCCTCTCTCTCAAGATGGGGTGAATTGTATTCAGTCAGCAAATCAGTCGAAACAGAAGAACAAGTGTGCTAGTAAGCTCTAGATACAGATATCCAAAGGCAATTCATACAAGGTGAACATTCAGCTCTTTCTACCGCAAATGAGTGTACAAGTTCTATAGATTCCCAATGGACCGTGTGAGAAATATGCATTTAGCTCAGGATTCAAATGTTTAAATAAGTGCAGTTTTGCCTCCTAGCACTAGTAATTATACACACTAGTGCGCATTCCCCAAAATTTCTGTCAAATTTTTATTAAGTGTTGGTTAGGGACAATATGGATTTGAGGCCAGCACATCTAAGGAGCTTCAAGTTGGAGAAGCCTATATTAATATATCTAGGAGTCAGGGGATGAAGTAGGTCATCTTCATTGGGTCTTGTTCTGGTGGGTTTGTGGGTTTTTCACTTTGCCATTTTTAGGGGATCCCAGATTCCAATCACAGAAATTCTTATTGACTCTGGTATCAAAATGTGCCTCACACTAGGATTCCTTCCCATTTTAAATGTATAGTTCTCATTAGATCCCTTCTTTTCCAAAGGTATTCAGCAGAAGAGATGCAACACTAGGGGCCCATTCACACTATGTGTGAATTACAGTGCTGGGATTCCACTTTAACCATCATGGTTCCACCCAGGCCCCATCTACACTGTCATATTATCCAGTATCTGAATCTGGACTAAACAAACTGGACTGGACTAAAGCAACCTCTCCTTTTTAACTAAGCAATATTTCATTTGTTTATTTAAAGGTAAATCCTAACAATCAAGAAATCCTATAAAACATAAAAACAGGTATCTACTCTTTTAAAAAATATTTTTTGAAATGAGGGACCACATCTCCTCCTACCAGTCCACATGAGCTCTGAGATCATCAGGAGAGGCTCTTCTCTCGGTCCCACCACCATCACAAGTATACTTGGTGGTAACAAGAGAAAGGGCCTTCTCGGTGGTGACCCTGCAGCTCTGGAATTCCCTTCCCATGGAAGTACGTTTGGCCCCCTCTTTGCTGGTCTTTCACACTCAGGTTAAAACTTTTCTGTGGAAGTAGGCCTTTCCCAACAACCCATAATAAGCAATGATTAGGCTATTGGTATTGCTAAGACACATCATTGAAGGCTATCTCGGACTGGCAATGTTTACACAGCCAAAGATGCAGAGCTTCAAGGATTTCTGGTATAATATTTTAAGGACAACCTCAGTGGCCTGAGGCCGAGGGACTTTTAATGGTAAATGTCATTATTTATTAAGGTTGTTTTTATATGGTTTATGCAATCTGTTTTTGTTTACTTGTTTATTTGTTTGGGGTGATGATGTTGTGCTCTTGTATCATGACATTTCTGTTGCTTTAACCATTTGCTCACTGTTTTGAGTCCCACACATGGGAGAAAAGTGGGATAAAAATAAATAATAGTAATGATAGTAATAATAAAATTCACAAAAATGCAGCACCCCAGATATGCATTTGGTGGTAGATGGGATTTTTAAAATGTATTTTTCATAATATATAACTGAGGTAGTTGAATTTTATTTCTACTTATGGAGAGGGAACTTTTTCTGATATCAGACTTCAGAAATATGTGCCAGGCTTTATTCATGCCATTCAATTTAGTGTATATATGTATTTTTCATAGCTATATTAAAAAATTATCTCTATGCCTCTAGGGTATCGTTTTTGCTCAGTCACGTTACCTGACAACTGCTTAATTTGTCAATTTTAGGAGGTACAGATACAGTTAGAGGAATTAAAAAAGAAATATGAGAATGAGACAAGACAGCTGCAGAAGGAGAAAGAAACCATAAATGGAAAGCTTCAGGAGTGCTCCCTGGAGGTATGTGGGACATAAATCCATCCTTGAGAACAGGAAGCATTTTAATCTTCTTATCTGAAGGAATCTCGATATGCGACCTCCTGCAACTTTTCAAAGCAGTGTCACAGAACTATAGGTGAAATAGTATTGTGATGATTGTTTTACACACAAGTTTCTTAAACAAGCTCTATGGCTGATAGAACAATAGTGTCTGCTTGTATAAAGATAGTATGGCATATTACAGTCATCCCTCCGTATTCATGGGGGTAGGAATGCACACCTGCAAATGTGGGAGGGAGAACCCCGCAAATAATTTACACATATGCACATGCTCTGCGGATGGGTACACTGTTATGGTGTAGTAGACAAAATGTGGATGCTGGAAAGGCAGTGGGTGTTCTTTCCAACATTTCAGTGTTATACTCGCAAAATATCAGTAGACTGGGCAATTCATCAGAATAAACCAGGCAAATAAAATATATATTTTAAAGCATATCACCATGAAGAAGATATTTACTACCTCCAAGGTGCAGTCTTTGCATTATGTTTTAGAACTTTACGACTAGAAAGGTTTTTCTCCCACAGTTAAAATGATGAGATGTATAAAAATGCTTTCTCCCGTGAAGGTTGCAGAATATTCCTTTCAAATGGATTGCATTTGTGGTTCATTCTCCAGTACTCTCAAAGGAATTCAGTGTACAATTGAAATTCATGGACTGAGCTAAATTTTTCATTGTTTTCTGGTTGTGGCACTTAATCTTACCACAGATAGCAAATGCACCTGGGAGGAGATAAGAAGAAGAGAGAGTAAGGCATATAAATGGGCAAAGAGACAGAATATAGAGGAGTGGAGGATTCCCCAATTGCTTATTAGTTAAACACTAACCAGGTAGTGCAGACACAAATAGAGCCAGGTAGTTTAGAAAGGAAAGGAAACATGTAGTTGTTTCAATTTATGAGACAGAGCATTGTGTACAGATCTGTAGTATCTACATTTCAGTACTATTTAAAGTATCTTGTTGCAGTACAGTCTTGCTCAAAATGGGCTCATATCCAGCACTTGGGGGTTTTTTGCAAGTGGAAGTGTGGTATCCAGTGTACAAAAGGGTACACTTTTCCAAAATTGTACCACAAAAACTTCCTTTTGAGAGCTAGAAACCCCTCCAGAATAAGGCTGCAAATTATTATTATTATTATTATTATTATTATTATTATTATTATTAGAAACTCAACAAAATGAGTCCACAGCAGACAAGATCACTCTGCTGGCTGTTGTATTGGATCACGTCGGACATTTCCCAAGTGTCTAGGACTGTGTGATGTATCGGCGAATAATGCGTGCAGATCCCAGTAAGCTGGCCTTCTGCAGCTGGCAGATGGTAATTTTGTCAGCGCCGATTGTGTTTAATGCCGGCCAAGGTCTTTAGGCATTGCACCCAATGCGCCAATCACCACGGGGACCACCTTTACTGGTTTGTGCCAGAGTCTTTGCAGTTCGATCTTTAAATCCTCATATCGTGTCATTATTATTATTATTATTATTATTATTATTATTATTACTACTACTACTACTACTACTACTACCCATCTCTCCTGGTGGCTCAAGGCAGGGTACAACATAGTCAAAAATGTATGAACATAAAATATGTACAATAAATTACATAGATAAAAATCCTGCACCAAACAGAGATACAAAAGTGATATATAGTAGCAATAGAATGTAAATAAAACTTACGATTGAAATTACAAATAAGATAAGAAGGGAGTGAGTCCCTAACTCTTTTGAGCATTAGATTTCTACATAGGGTGGTCTCGCACGGTACTCCCAAGCGGTAAAAGCCACCAACATAATTTTATTCCCAAATGTCCCAAAATGCTATCTATATTTGTGCGGGGGGGCCTGAGCCATTTCAGGCCCAGGAAAGGACTTCTTTAAAAATAGGAAATAAATAGGCTCTAGACAGCATTTGGAGGTACTTCAGGGCAAAATTAATTTCTTCCAGGGGGTACAGTTAGGGAGTACATCCTCTTAAATATCTTGGGATGGATACTGCAGATCTCAACCTCGTACAGTTGGATTTAATGGTAGGCCTGCTAACATTAACTAGACAACAAGGAATGTTTAGAATTATGTCAAACACGGAAATGTTTTATCAGTGCATATTAATTAGTGCACTGCAACCTTTTGAAAAGGCTTGTTTCCTCTCGCTGATTTAGGCTTTAAGATTAGAGACTTTCATCAGACAAAACCGCGATATCCCCAAATGTGCAGAATTCCTTAAATCTCATGCCAGAAAATCCCGTGAGAGGCAACAGGAGGTAAGAAGTATTCATTATCTATTGTCAAATGAGCTGGATAAATGTTTCTGACTTGGTAATGTAACATAAACTGTTTCTCCATGAAAGTCTTTAGTGATTCAAAATTTAAATTGAGATTGCACACATCAATTTGATATTGTTCTTGCTATGTGGGTAAGAGTGAATTGACGTCATATACCAGAAAACTACACATTTAGAATGCCAAGATGCCGCCAAAATCCCTACAACCTGACATTGTGGCAATTCAGAAAAACTGTCCAAAGAGCAACTAACAGGTTATTTCTCACTAGTTATCTAGTCACGATTAATTAAAAGCTACAAGGCAGATTGATTGGGCCAGGCGTTAGCACAGAAGGTTAAACAGCCAGCTGCAGAAAATCTTGCTTATTGAAAGGTCGACAGTTCAAGCCCGGGTTGTGGTGAGCTCCCAGCCATCAGCCCAGCTTCTGCTCACCTAGCAATTTGAAAAAAGTGATGTGAATAGATAAATAGGTACTGCTTTGGCAGGGAGGTAATAAAAGGTAACCATACAGACATGCCGACGATTTGATCAGGAGAGTGTCTGAAGACAACAAAGCTCCTCAGCATGAAAAATGGAGTGACAGCACACCCCTTCCCCCAATCCCATCGGCGGAGTTGAGCACAGCCTCCAGATGCTGGAGATGAAAAAAGATGGGAAGCCTTTATCTCTGTTTATGTACTGCTTGTCTTTGTTAATTGTATAACGACATTGAATGTTTGCCATATATGTGTACTGTAATACGCCCCAAGTCTCCTCAGGGAGATAGGGACAAATATGTGTGTTTGTATGTATTTGTGTGTGTGTGTGTGTGTGTGTTAGCGGTCCCCTGCCACGCGTTGCAGTGGCCCAGTCTACTAACCTGGAAAATAAAGTAATGGGAAAGTGTTGGTTTCTAATATATGCAATTTCTTTATGCTTGTGGGTAAAAAAGTATTTCTTGTTGTTTCTTTGTCAGTGTTGATGTGGAGATTGTCTGGTTTGCCTACTCTGGAACATGCAACATATCATTGTTCTTCTTTAGGGGTCCCTTTCAAATCTATGATACTATATCTGTCATATACATATGTGTATTTGAATCATATATATATATATATATATATATATATATATATATATATATATATCAAAATGGCTCTTTGTCAGGAGGGCTTTGATAATGTTTTCTTGCCCTGGTGAAGGGAGTTGGACTGGATGGTCTTAAGTATTTTCTGTAGGTCATGGGGGTTCTGTGTGGGAAGTTTGCCCCAATTCTGTTGTTTGTAGGGTTCAGAATGCTCTTTGATTGTAGGTGAACTGTAAATCCCAGTAACAACAACTCCCAAATGCCAAGATATATTTTCCCCAAACTCCATCTGTGTTCATATTTGGGCATACGCAATATTTGTGCCAAGTTTGGTCCAGATCCATAATTGCTTGAGTCCACAGTGCTCTCTGGATGTAGGTGAACTACAACTCCCAAACTCAATGTCAATACCCACCAAACCCTTCTAGTGTTTTCTGTTAGTCATGGCAGAACTGTGTGCCAGGTTTGGTTCAATTCCATCGTTGGTGGAGTTCAGATGCTCTTTGATTGTAGATGAACTATAAATCCCAGCAACTCCACCTCCCAAATGACAAAATCATAATTTTTATAGTGATGGTCACTCCTTGTGTAGTGAGACATTTTGTTGTCAAATTTAGTGGGATTTCGTTCATTGGTTTTTTTGTTTTTAACGTACTCATTATGCACAGAGCATTTTTATATATTTAGATATATTGACCAGGCATATAATAAAACTGCTAAAAAATCTTTTCTGAAAAAGCAGAGGAGATGCATAGACAAGTGTTTCACTTCTTCCACTTTGCAGCACTGCACTGTTTATACCGTGATTGACTTCAGTGCATTTTATTGCATGATTTGCAATTTCTTGTGAGTTTTGTTAACACATGGATTTTTTTGCTGGATGCATGTTGGAGGTCACATTGGGGTCTACATTTTGTAGGCACCCCAACCTTGAGCTAGTTTACAGACAGATTATAATGCTTGTGCAGATTGGGCCCGAGTGTTAAACAATTTGGCTATATAATTTCAGGCTACAGCAGATTATCAGTTTTCTCTTTGTCTAGAACAACTTCTATAACTTATAAACTCAGGTAAGACAGCACTTTAAAAATATTCAAGCATGGAATCATCCAAGTGGTTTATAGCTAGAACCACCTAGCTAATGTATTCATTTATTGATTTGGTTTATATCCTTCTTTCTCTCAAATGGGACTCCATGTAGTTCACATGTATACCTGTTATCTGTATAGTAACTGTATGAGTCATTCATTTTTTTTCCTTGATAGAACAAGTGTAATGAATAGGGATTTGTCTTTGGGAGAAAAATAATAATAGTTTGCACTCTTATTTTCATTTTCTCTGAGAAGTCATTTTTCCTTGGTGCCTGTCTAAGGCAAGGCACCAGTCAGTTATGACTGGGAATAGCACTAGCAAAAAAAGGATTCTTAATTTGTAATAATATTCCCACCAAGGAGGCCACCAAGGAATTTATAAGATAGGTTGCATTTTGCTACCCAGCTGAGAGCAGTGAAATTGAGTAGGCTTTACTTTCTGCTTCAGAGATTAAGCAGTGTACTGTCACTAATATAGTTCTAACTTGGGCACAAATTTAAACTAAATATAACTTCCTGAGCCACACAGGACACTAGTATCAGGAACAGGACATAGTATAAGTAACATATGTACATGTACACTTTTTTCTATCCATGTCAATATTTGACTGGGCAACACTTCACTAGAAGCACAGTTAATCTAAAACATTCCTAAAGAGGATGCCTCATTCTAGTAAATTAAAGAAAATTAATACATGAAAGAAAAGGACAGATAGAAACTCACAGACCCTCTCCCCGCCATTGTCTACTTTTACTTGCAAATAAAGGTAATGTTTACACAAGTTTGTGGTGATGCAGTTGGAAGATCATGGCAGGAGGATGTTCTTCTGATTAGCATATATGTTTCTTCTGACTCAACTTTCAAGATCATTCTACTATACAAAACTAATGAAAAAGAGCAGGAAAAATACTGAGTATAAGTGGTTCAGATTCACAACTGGAAAAGAAACACTGTACATAGTAAAGTATTAGTATAGAAATTTTAGTAAAAAAAATTGACCTCAGAAACTTGGGTTGACTTATCCATGGATTAATATAAGTACTTTAAATTAATTCTTATCAAACAATCTCTCAGCAGAGTGGCAAAAGGTAAAAGCTTAGTCCATCCAAGGAAAACCTAAAAGAAGCACAATCATTATTGTTTAAAGGGAATACACAGAATAATAACCAACTGATAGAGAGTGAGAAGTATATATGGTTTCTGTTCTAGTATATGTTTAGTTGCAGTATACCTTATGTCGTTGTGTAGTTTTGGCAGTTGTAGATTTCTAAAATGATTTTGTGTGTGTTTTATTTTATCTTGAATAAAAAAATATGTTTAGAAGAAGAAGAAACACCAATCCCCCCACTCTTTCTTCAGCATCACTCCTTTTGGCCTTTTTGAATGCCTGGGTGACAAAAGTGGTGATGACTCTTTGGCATTCCCTTTCAAAAGGAGAGCCAAGAGAGTAGAGGGCATTGATGCTTCTTTTAGTTTCTCCAGGATCCAACCTTCACTCATCCAATGTTCTGTATTATCCAACGCAATCTCTCTCCCACCTGGATTCACAGCTGTTTCGATAACATTGCAATGTTTTGGTACTAAATTTGTAAATACAGTAATTATTACATAATGTTACCACGTTTTGAACTGCTTCTTCTGTCAATTTGTTGTAAAACATGACGGTTTTGGATGCTTAATTTGTAAAATCATAAAGTAATTTGACGTTTAATAGGCTTTTCCTTAATCCCTCCTTATTATCCAACATTTTGACTTATCCAACATTCTGCTGGGCCGTTTATGTTGGGTAAGTGAGGCTCTACTGTATAAAAAAGGAACAATTTCCTTCTCTGAGTAGAGTGGTAAAATGCTTTTTTTAAAAAATGGAAAAGGATGAGAGACAGTGAAGGCTGCCTCCTGAGACAGTGCTGGCACTTTTCACTTTTAACAAAATGACCCACTGTTTATCCACAAGTCATATCAAAATCCATAATTTTGGCCCCCAAACCTGCTTTTAACTTATAGATGAATAGGCTTGGGTGATCAAGAAAAAAAATGGTTCTAAACTCGTTTCGTATATAAGGGGTGCTGGTGTTTCGATTTTGCAATGATTTCTGAAATTTTCTTGAAAAAAAGATCGGAAATAGCAGAAATCTGAATTGCTTCAATTGCTTCGTTAATGGAAGGTACCCCTCCCTCCAGAACCATTAAATTTGACAAAGACAGAAAGCCTAAACAGTTTTAAAATCTCGCAGTTTTTTCTGAACAAAAATGTGTTGTTGGTTTGAAAAGCATTTTCAATATGACAAAACCCTGGGTGGCGGCAAACGGCAATGGATTGCAGAGCCGCCGATGCAAAGAGGGGCGTGGCCTGCAGGAAGAGCTGTTCTTAGCCATGCCCACCTCGTTCCTCTTTGCATCGGTGGCTTCCCTTCAGGCAGAGCTGTTCTTACACACGCCCACCTCATCCCTCTTTGCATCGGTGGCTTTGCACGCCCAGCGATGCAAAGAGGGACGAGGTGGGTATGGCAAAGAACAGCTCTTCCTGAAGGCCACTCCCCACCTCGTCCCTCTTTGTATCGCCAGGTGTGCAAAGCCACATCTGAAAATAATTCCGAACAATGGGGAAGTTGTTTCAGTTCGGAATTGCTTCTCCCACTATTCCTGCATGACTCAAAATTGGATCAAAAGGTAATTTAATCCAAATTAATTATGATTTTAGAAGCTTACGAACAAAATTACCCAAGCCTAATGAATATATATGATAACTGTGTCAATGGCAGTTACTGTTCATAGTACTGAACTTTTTGCGAATGTGTTGTTAACATTGTTTTAAGTATCTAG